CTCGATGTAGAAGGTTACGTTAGGAGGCGATTTGTGTGTACAGGAGTGGAAGATAATGGTTAAACCAAGCCTTGAACAAGATTGTACTGATCGGGGATACATCATGTTGGAAATCGGCTCGGCAGGAGAGTGTTTCGCAGGAGGAAGCTGCTCGAGTAGAACTTACTTCTCACCGATGGAATAAAGGGATAAATTGGGTGGTTTGCTAATATGTAAATGACGTCTTCTTGCCGTGAAGGATTGGCGGGACCAAGGAATGTAATTCGTTCGAGCACTTTCCGCTGTCTTATTATCAGTCCTCCTTTCATCTCTTTCTTACTGTCCATTTAAACTTTTTAACATTTTTCAAAAAGATATTCTCTCCTCTTTACGAAAACTATTTCGTTACATTTTTTTTATATTACTTTCTTTATTTTATTACATTTCATCAGAAGTAAGTTCCAATCGAGCAGCTCCTTCCTCTGAACTACTGCTCTGTGGAAACCACTCCCAGAGCGAAAACTACCATGTTGATACAAATTTATATAATCTGAGTACTTTCGACATTAGCACAATGGCATCATCAGTGTCGTCTTTTTCATTCGGAAGAAATGAATATGCGTCAACATGGTAATTTTCTCGCTTCCTTTCATTAGGATACTAAGAAGCTTTTCCGTGAATATGAGAAGATCCTATTGAAAATAAGTAGAAAAAATTAGTCTAAATTATTCAATGAAGCATATCTTAATGAAGACATGCTGCAAATATCCGTACACACACACACACACACACACACACACACACACACACACACACACACACACACACACACATATATATATATATATATATATATATAAAATTATGAAACACATATAAAGAAAACAAAGAATAAAAATTTAACGTGCAGAGAATTTAAAATGAAAAAAAAATGCAATCAGCTAATCACGCTACCTTGGTTTCAAACTTTCGGTATCCTCAGGCAACATAGGATATATTGGCCTTTATCGCCTGAGGATACCAAAACGTTGAAACCAAGTTAATGTGACTCATTTTCTCCTAAATTTATATATATATAATATATATATATATATATATATATATATATATATATAAAGATTACTTAAGTTTTAAATATCAATTTTCTTGTTTTTCCTGACTTGTTTTTTTTTTTTTAAATTTAAATCAATTTTCTTTAAATTGGTTCAATTTCTCTTGGCTTTTTTCATTTTTACACGCACATTCTTCATTAACATTTTTATAGCATGCATTAAATGATTATTTTTGTTTTTGCAATTTCATGTTTTCAGTTTTTTCATGTTGATTTTTTCAATCCGTTTTTTTAACGTTCTATATAGAAGTTGTTATGTTATGTTATATTATTAATTGAATTGTAACATTTCATGACTTTATGTCGTATTTGTATTATTAATTAATATTTTATTTGATTTTTTTATTTTATATTATTATTAAAGTAACAAAGGAAATGTTTGTTGAAATATCGGTATCGACGAATTATTTCATTCCTTTTATATAATAATTTAATTTGATTATTAAAAGTTAATATTAAAAATGTTTCTTCTAAACACAGGCTTCCATTCCTATTCGTAATATAGCATAAGGGAACTTTTTTTTTTATAATTTCCCATTTAACTATAGTTTGTATATTATTTTCTTTTTGACTATATATATATTTTTTTTATGTGCTATTTTCGTGTTTATCTACTTTAAGCCACACACACACAGACACACACACACACACACACACTCATATATATATATATATATATATATATATATATATATATATATATATATATATATATCAAGTATAGGATTGATGTATACGGAATAAATTGCATCGCCAACAAATACTATTCTTAAAATAGTGCTCAATGCTGAGTAGAACAAATATAATCATTTATTCGAAAATTATAACATAAATATTTTATAAAATCACTACAAAAATAGCCATTTTGTTTCAACACTTTGGTGTCTTATCAAGTGATGGTGTTGAATGTAAAATAAAGGGTTTTAAAAGGTTCGAATCAAGACACCGAAGGTTTTCCGAGCGAGTATAATTTCTTATACTTATACGATTATTACTACTATATATATATATATATATATATATATATATATATATATATATATATATATATATATATATATATAAAAATCATTAAAAAACAAAAAAATAGCATAAATAATTATGTTTTTATGTTTCAGATTCCTGCCGGCAGGCCGAAATTCATGCGTTGTTTTCCTCTACAACATCGATTTTGAATTCTGATTTTTTTTTATATCTGTGTTCTGCCGTTAACATTCTTTCAATTACATTTCAATTGTGATTTATAATACATTTTTTTCCCTGACTCCAAAGAAATGTGCCGATTCAAGGGCTAATCCTAAGCGTTAGACTATATCCCTGGGAGATAAAGTAGAAATGATGAATACTGTACGTACATATCATAAATATTATGGGGACTGCTTATTTGTGGTTTATAGCATAGTTATTTTGACTTAAGTCATTTTTCGACGTTACCTCTAGAACTAATTAACGACGTAGGGCGAGCTATACTTGTATAAAGATTGGTGATGTAATACAATGTTTGGACGTGTGTTTCTAGTTGGTAATATATGTATCATTAATCTCTCGACATACTTTTTCGTTATTAGTATGTTATTTTTAAAAAATTAGGATGCCATTTATAAAATCAAAATTATAGCTTTTTTTTTTTTTCACCTTAATATTACGAGCGAGGTAAAAAGCTAATCTAAATGTAAATCCCTTTTTCAGTTCATAGATACGGGCTTTCAGATTGTGAGATGTCTCTCCTATATAAGTGCTTTTGCATTGTAAAATATTTATTTCATAAGTACCGGCATCTGAATTGGTTTTGGATTTATTTTTCTTCCTAATTATCTATTCTATTTCCTTGGTCGTATTCGTAAAGTTCCTTGTATTAGGAAAAAACTAATTCATTAACAAGTTTTGTAGAAATTCTATTAGAGAGTAGGATTAAGAATTTTGTGTTGTTGTTAGAAATGCTATCGGTGATGTCTAGCGTCTTGGTGTTTTTTAAGCTCATTAAGGATGAAATGATCTGGATATTGAAGATAACTAAATGTTTTCTCAATATATTTCTCTTCTCACCAAGGTATTCTGGGCTTTATATTCTTGGGGACATAGAAACAGGTTTCGCTTTTAGTTTTTTTTTTTTTTTTAATTTCAGCAGAATATTGTGGACATGATTTATGGGAGAGGATATCCTGGTATATTTTAATTCTCTGTTGATTCTTTTTCATGGGTCAGTTAGATATCATTTGATAACATTTTGTGATTTTAGTGTGTGGGTATGTGTGCGCGCATGTGTCTCCATTGTAGTGGGTATTTTGTGTTTGTCTGAAGATGTTAGTGGAAGGTTTGGTTTGGTTTGGTTTGGTTTGTTTTCCGGCATATCAATATCAATGGGTTATTTAATGCCACAATTTTTTTTTTTTTGTGCTGGTAATGTTTTTCTTCAAAAACTCTATTTCTAGGAATATTTTTATCTGAAGAAATCTATAGTCATGTTTTTTTTCAAAGAATGTATAGCTGTTTGTATTGCTAGTAGATTTTTTTAAAGAATTGTTGCTAATATTTTTCCTTCAAATTGCCGGTAATATTTTTTTATTACAAAGTAATTCTATTATTAAAACCTATTTTTCGACAAGTTTGGGTGTCAAGTATTTGCCCATAGCTGGGACCCTAACAGGTGCTACCACCCTGGGTCTGGTGAACCTTGGAACGCCAGCAATTAAGAGGTGGTTCCATGATCCTCAAAATCTCCTGATCAGAGGCCTTACTGTTGGACGTAGTTTATCGTCTTCCCTAGGACGCGGATGTAGCCTATCGTTTTACCCAGGACGCGGCTGTAGTTTATCCTCATACCCAGGACGGGGTAGTGGCGAATCGGAAGTCAGTGACTGTATGTGTAGGTATTAATTTTTTAGTTGTTCTTGCTGGAGTTGATGGTGTCGATATATCTTGATGGTTGGTTAAATGTATACGTTATTGAGGTTCAGTGCAGTCGTATGGATGTATATGTTATTGAGGTTCAGGTCAGTTGTATAGAGAAATTTGGAGGTACATAGGTGTGTGCGAGTGGGTGTGTGTTTGTTTAATTCTATTATATAACACACACAAACACATACACACACATACACACACATATATATAAACAGAGAAATGTCTTAAAATTAAAACGTGAGGGTATATGATGCTTCTGTATAGGATGGATGTTCGATTCCTGTCGGAGGACGAATATTTTCTATGAAAATCTCTCGGATATTCTGGCCGCTAAATGTTGTTTAATGCTGTTTATTATAAACAGAGCATTTACTTAAATATTTGTATGTAAAAAAAAAGAATGTATAAACATAGAAATGTCTTGAAATGATTGTCGGACTTTGTCCATTTCATAATGTGTGAAACACATATATGTATTAAAGTATTTAGTGACAAGATGCCACTTTTCATATAGTGACACACACACGATGCCATATTTTTTTCACACATGCACACACACACACACACATATCTATATATTTATATATAAACAAAGAAACAGACACAAACACACACACATATACACACACGCATACACACACACACATATATATATACACACACACACACACACTCACACACACACACACACACACACATATATATATATATATATAGAATGGTTTCTGTGGGCTTCTTTCATATATAGATGTAGAATCTTTGTCAAAATGGTAGATGACAGCTTGCAGGCGGATCACTTTATTATTTTGTTAGATTTTCCCGGTTGTCTGTTGACTGTATTTATTAGGCGTGAAATGAGACAGAAGGCGCGGGAATCGAGGGCGTTTTGACGCGAAATCCAACCAATTAGCTGGGAAATAAGCCGGATTTTGCGGAGACAATATGAGTTTCTTGGCAGTCATATAAAAGAAGTGCTTCATTACATTTGCCATTTGCGTTCCTTTCTTAATCAGTCGGGGGCTGAAAAGGAAAAGGACATACGGACAATGAGAGAGGAGACAAGAACGAGAGAGAGAGAGTAAGAGTATAAAAAGAGTAGGTATAATTCATCTAGGATATAGAAATAAAAGAAGAAACAGATATCTGATGAAAATGAAGAAAAATAGAGAGAAAAAACGTACTATTAAAATCGGAACAGTTTGTATGAAAAAGCGAAAGAGAAAAGAAAGAGGGAGAAAAAGACGGGCTAGAAGAGAAAAGGGGAAGTGGATAGAAAAAGTGGCAAATAATAAAAAAAAAAGAAGAAAAAAGAAAGAATAATTTAATAGTGAAAGTATACGAAAAGAAAGAAAGAATATGGAGAAAGTGAAGAAAGAATGCATTCGGCCGGAAAGGATACTGAACAAAAGTAAGAAAGAAAAAAGATTTTATAGAAAAAGATTACAAAATAAATAAATAAATAAGGAAAGATAGAACGAAAAAAAAAAATTAATAGAAAAAAGACTACAAAATGACAAAAAGAAAGAAAGAAAAAAGAACAGAAAAAAGACAAATAAAAGAACGAAAAAAATTGATAGAAAAATACTGCACAATGAAAGAAAGAACGATAAAAGAAAGAACGTAAGAAAAATTTCATAGAAAAAGACCAAAATATGAAAGAGAGAAAGAAAGAAGAAAAAATGAAGAACAAAAGAAAAAAATTAAGACTACAAAATTGAAGAAAGAGAAAAGAATGTAAGAAAAAAGAATGAAAGAAAAATTAAATATAAAAGAATACAAAATGAAAGAAAGAAAGAATGAACGTAAAAAGAAAAGCGGAAGCAAGAAGGAAATAACGAAAGAAAAATTTAAAAGAAAAGATTAAAAATGAAAGAAAGAACAAAGTAGAAAAATGAAAGAAATAAAGAGAGAAACAAAGAAAGAAAAATTTACTAGAAAAACACTACAAAATGAAAGAAAGTAAGAACCAAAGAAAGAAAACACAAAAGAAAGAAAGAATGAAAAAATAATAGAAAAAACTACATAATGAAAGAAAGAACGAAAGAAAAAATGAAAGGAAGAAAAAAATAAGGAAAGAAAAAATTAATATAAAAAGACTACAAAATGAAAGAAAGAAAGAAAGAACGAACGAACGAAAAAAACAAACAAAAGAAAGAGAGAAAGAAAGAAAGGAAGAAAAAAGAACAAAAGGAGAATTTAATACAAAAGTCCAGAAAATGAAAGAAAGAAAGAAAGAAAGAACGAGTAACAAAACGAAAGAAAAAAGAAATATTTGATAGAAAAAACTGAAAGTTGAAAGAAAGAAGAACGAAACAAAAATCAAAAGAAAGCAAAAAGAATAAAAGAAAGAACGAAGGAAAAAAAAGTGTACAGAATGAATGAATAAACAAAAAAAATCATGAGAAAGAACGAAAGAGAGTGTGAAAGGAAAATTTAATATAAAACGTCTAAAAATGAATGAAGGAAAGAGCAAAAGAAAGAAAAAAACGAAACAACGACAGAAAAATTTAATAGAAAAGACTACAAAATGAAAGAAGCTAAAACGAAAAAAAGTAAAAACGAAAGAAATAAAAAAGTGCGAAAGAAAAATTTTATTGAAAAAAGTACAAAATGAAAGAACGAAAGAAAAAATGAAGGAGAGAAACAAATATCGAAAGAAAATTTATTTAGAAAGAACTGACGAAAAAGAAAAAAAAATCGAAAGAAAGAAAGAACAAATGAAAATTTATTCGGAAAAGACTGCAAAATGAAAGAAAGAAAGAAAGAAAGAACGAAATAAAGAAAAAAACAAAAAAAGAGAGACTGAAAGAAAGAACGAAAGAAAAAGAAGAAAGGAAAATTCAATAGAAAAATACAACAAAATGAAAAAAGAAAGAATGAAAGAATGAAAACACAAAAGAAAGAAAGAAACAATGAGAGAAGGAAAGAAAGAAGGAAACCAGAAAATATAATTGTAATAGAGAAAGAATAAAGAAAGAAAGAAAAAGCAAAAGAAAGAAAAAAAAAAGATTGAATGAAAAAACGAAAGAAAAATTAATGCAAAAAGTCTACAAAATGAAAGAAAGAAAGAAAGAACGAACGAACGAACGATTTAATAGAAAAAGACTACAAAATGAAAGATTGAGAGACCGATAAAAGAAAGAAAGGAAGGAAGCAAGCAAGGAAGGAAGGAAGGAATGATGGAAAGAAAGAAAGAAAGAAAAAAAGAAAGGAATATTTAATAGAAAAAGACTAAAAAAAGGAAGGAAAAATGTTGCTACTGACAATTGATTTGGAACTTAAATCGACAGTGAGCAAACACAGGCGATCCCATTATTGAAGCAAGTAGACCACATAGAGGAAACTCATATATGTAACAATCACCAGTTCTAGTCTATCCTCTATTACTATTCAGATCTTCCTTTCTTCTCTATTCTCTACTCTATTCACTATACTATTTGTCTGTTTGGATCACTATACAGAATACTATTCAAGCGAGTATTATCGAGCAAGTACTACTAGTGCGAGTGATATTCGAAGGCTTCTGACACCAGTATTGTTCAACGGCGTTACTATAGTTGTATCTGCGATTACAAAGTCTCTACTTCAACGAATATTTTGGAAAGTGACAACGAGTATTCGTTGACATCACAAAAGCGGCAACGAGTGTTCGTTGACATTACAAAAGCGAGTGTTCGTTGACATTACAAAAGAAAGAAGATCAAAAGAAAAAAAGAGAGAGAGAGAGAGAGAGAGAGAGAAATAAAAAATATTAGAAAAAGACTACAAAATGAAAGAAAGGACGAAAGAAAGAAATGACGGAAGAAAGAAAGAATTAACAAATGTAGAAAAAATAAATGAATAGAGAATGATTATAGTAAGAAATTAAAGAGAGAAAAATGCCTTGCGAATCTGTTTACTGAGGTAAAAAAAAGAATAAGTTTTAAGGGAAAGACTACAAAATGAAGCAAGGAAGGAAAGAAAGAAAAAAAAAAGAAAGACATAAAAAGAATGTGGAAAAATGAATTAATAATGAATGGCTGTTGAAAGATAGAGAAAGATAAATATGTATGGAACGAGTACTGAAGAAGAAAATAAAAAAGAAAGAAAGACAGAAAGAAAGAATTAATAGAAAAAGTTCACAAAAAGAAATAAAGAAAGACTTTGGCAAATAATATATTAATAGAGAATGATTATGCAAATAAAGAGTAAATAAATTCACAGCAAAAAGATTACTGAAAGAGAGAATGAAAGAAATAAATAAAAAATGAATGAAAGAAAGAAAGAATGAAAGAAAAAAAGAAACAATTAATAGAGAAGAAGGATTACAAAAATAATGAAATAATATAAGAAAGAATAAAATTTTGATGGACTAATTGTGAAAGAGAGAGAGTGAGAAAGAGAGGGAGAAATTAAAATAAAGAATAAAAATATCACCTCTAAATTTTCTGATGCAGAAAACGAGTACTAAAAAAAAGAAAGATTTAATAGAGAAGGACTACAAAAAGAAAGAAAGTAAAAATAATTGATAAAAACTATCGAAAGAAAGAGAGACATGGCAAATAATAATTTCATATAGAATGAATATTAAAAGAAAAAGAATTAAAAGAATGAATTAATGAAAGAAACTGGACAAAGAATAATAAATAGAATAAAACTAGTGAAAGAAATAAAAATGAAAGATAAAATATATTTGTAGAGAAAAACTACAGAATGAATGAGGCAAAGAAAACAATTAATGTGGAAAAAGAAGAAGAAGCAAAACTTACGGAAAGAAAAGCTAAACTAAAAGAAATAAAGTGCTAAAAGAAAGAAAGAGAAAGAAAATTAAAAAGGCAAATAATAGAAAAAGAGAAAGAATGAAAAAGAAGAAGGAATAAAAGATGATGAAATCGTAGAATGTAGAAGATTTTCAATTTATGTAATTGAAATTGAGGAATGAAGAAAAAGATCGACAAAAATATATAATTTAAGAAATAGAAGAACGAGAGGGTGGGTAAAGAATAGAATGATTATATAAAAGGAAGAAGATGGTGACAAATATTTAATATATGCGGACATCTTGAACATATCCTTAAATAGTTGTTTATATCAGGAACGGCGGCAAACAGACGGAGGTAATGATGTGTTTTGATAGTTAGTAAAAATAAATAAATAAAAAATATGTATAAAAAAATCAGAATGAATAACATAATAAAACCAATTGGAGACGCGGGCTATATTTGCAAACAAAATGGACATTAAATATTCCGAGAGCGAAAAACAATAAACACAGGAGTTTACGAGAGACGAAGAAATATATTAAAGAAGCCATGAATTTTATTTACACACAAAAATAGAAAGTCATATTTATTGCCTCAGTGTGGACGACTAAATAGCAAACTACTCTATACATTATTTCTTTGGCTACCCGGTGAGGAACGGGCTTGCGACTAATATTCATTTACTTACCAGTATGCCAGCGTACACACAAGCGGTCATTGATATTCATATGTGCTATAATATCTGTTTATATTTCTATAGTATCTGTCTCTTATCCACTGTGCGATTAAGGACACATGGCACAGTGGATAAAGGCGTTTGTTAGATCCAGTGACAGGACACAAAGAGTTGTGTGTTCAATACCTGGTTAAGGCAGTGGAGAACTTGGAGAGGGGAATTGACAGGAGAAAACTGATAACTGGCATCCATTAGACATGGCACCTGGAACAAGAACTGTCTATCCCAGCGAGCGAAATAAAGGGTTCGTCATTCCAACCACCTGAAGAAGACCAGAGCGCACAACGGCCGAAACGTTGGAATAAATATGGCAACGAATATGAGGACAATAATCTGACTCATGTAATTAGTGTTCATATGTGATATATCAAATTGAAAAGTACACCGATTCAGAATTTCAGGATTGATCTATATTTGCTTATCCAATCGAAAAGTACACATATTCAGAATTTCGTGACTGATTCTATTTGCTGCAACCAATCGAAAAGTACACCAACTCAGAATTCTAGGAATGATCTATATTTTTCTGAAATCAAAGTATTGTCAAATTATGACCGTTTGAAAATCGCACTTGTTTAAACATTTTTATTAGATGATCACTATATGAGATCTTATTAAAATGAAATAATTTATACAGTCTAACTTTTACGTATTATTCTACTTACATTTTAGTCTGATTTGCACGTAGCCGTTCGCATTGTAACCATGAAACCCGGGTTCGAATCTCACTATAGTCGATTTGTCAGGTAGGAGACTTTTTGATGTTATCGGACTGGAGAGAACGATCCTAATCCTGTGGCACCTTTGGAAAGTGCCTAAAAAAAACATACCACGTGTTGACCCAAGTCTTGTGAGTGAAATTGGGTAGCTGTGTTAGCACGGGATCACAAGTCATCGTGGCCGAGGGCTGGAGTATGCTGGTCCTTTTCAAATTGTTGATCACACTAGATCAGACGCTATTTTCTAGAAGCTGTAACTAAGGTCTGGTCAGCCAAGTTGCAGTATAAACCACAGGTGCGCTATGTGGGTGCTGAATAAACATAAATGCGCCTGTGCAAGCGTCTGCAATGGGGATTGGCTAGCCACCCTAAAAGACGGATATCGTGGAATATGAGTGGCCAGTGATACTATAAATGACGGGCAGGTTTAACTTGAAACTCTTCCATAAATAACTAAAGTCGATTTGGATGAACTGCAACACATTTTTCTGTTAAGACAAAGCTTTGTCCTATTTTGCCAGCTCTTTCGTCTCTGACAGCACAATATCGAATGTCAGTTGTATTTTTTCTTTGTTAATGTAACAGGTTAAAGATCAGAATACAGAACTGAGAAAATATATTCCTACTGAAATTCTAATATTTTTACGTCACATGTGGTTTGGAATGCTGTCGTTATTCCGTATTCGACTGCGCAAGTTATTTGCCAATGTCTCTATTTCATACCGATTTTCTACGCAACCGACTTTTAACCAAGATGAGTACATTGTACTAATAAATAGCACAGCGTATCGTTTGTATTGGTTATTTTTATTGTCTCCAGTGGTGAAATCTTGCCGACTACTTGTCAGTTCTAGAGTGGGTGAAAGAGTGAAAAGAATGTTGAACTGCTAAGTAATATCCTATATGGCTGTGAATACTAGACAATTTCCTCACGGATGAAGATGACTATGGAAGTAGCAGAGTGGGGTTCTACAGAAGGATGCTGAGAATGCCATAGATGAAATGAGTTAGCAACAGAGTCTTAAAAGGGATAGAGACAATAAAAAAAATAATTAGAATCAGAAAGATAAAACTGACATTTCTTTGGACTATAACGAGGAAAGAATTTGACACATACAGGACATATATACGACAATAGAGACGACGGACCTCCTTCACGACCATTTTTTCGTGAAAAGGTTGGTGAGCCGGGAGTAGAAGAGAGGTTACAAATATAGATCTTACTAAGATCTGTAAGGGATCTGTGTTAAGCCACACCCTGAACGAACACTGCGCAAATCAAAAGAAGGGTTTTTCAAGCACTTCCAAGATTCTGAGATCGTCTCCCCCACCCAAAGAAATATTATCAAAAAACCACCTTCTTATCTTATTGACCACCAAAATGATTGGAGTGCAGACGCTATAACAACTCGGTCACCTACCCAGGTACAACGGGTTGAACAAGCCTTCTGCGTGAAATTGGGTAGACGATGTAGTGCTAGCAAGAAATCACGTGCTCAATTAACAGACAAATAGAAACTCTATAGGTATGGAGAACAATCTATCGAGAGATAGATAGTGTCTCGGTAAAACCAGCTTTCGCCCAGCAACTTGGCCATACTTGGGGATTTGACGACATAAAAAGACTCGTTGTGAGTGAAATTCTTTACACAAGTTATGTCACGGACGTTCAAAATGTGCTGCAAGCGAATGAACAAACTCAACATTATGCTATTAGACGCTTGCTTCCATTCGTGTTTGTTTTTGGCGGCATCGTCAGCGGTATCCTTCGTCTATGTGCCGCTTCTCTGCAAGACAGGCGATCATGGCTCTCCAGAACTTCCTATCTCTTTTAATTCTATCCCGCCACCCATTCACACAAGCTCGTCAAGATAGTGACTCACTGTATTTCCATATATATCTCAGTATGCCCTATGTGTTTAACATTCTCCAAACCTTCTTTCCTCACTATATGTCCAAGGAAATTAAGCTTTCTTTTCCTGATTCTGAATATAATGTTCTTTCCGTTACAATTTTTTACAGATTTCCTCTTCGCTTACTCGCTTTGTCCATGGAATTTTCAGTACCCTTCTGTAGAACTACATTCCTGCATCCTCATCAGTTGCAAGATTGTCCAGCATTAACTGCCCTATGAAAGGATTCTTTCTTTTTAGGCGCCGTGTCCCTTCAGGACGTAGGCGATCATGACCCACCACTTACCCGTGTCACTTTTAACTTTCAATAAGTTTTGTCCCTTTGATGCTTTCCCCAGACTATATTCTGTCATCTACTAGCATAAGCACGCTAGGTATGTCTTGCGTTGCTTTCCCTTGTATCTCTTTCCTTCTATTCGACCTGTGAGTATCAGATTCTCCAAGCCATCCTTCCTCATTACGTGTCACAGATATTTCATCTGCCTCTTCCTGATGTCAAGTATAAGCTGTCTCTTTGTTTGCATCTTCTCCAAAGCCTCATCGTTGCTCAACCGCTCGGTCCATAATATCCTTAGTATCCTTCTGTAGAACCATACTTCCGTCGGGTCGAGTCTATCTTTGAGGAGACCGTCCAACATTCGATACCGTAAAGGAGGACAGATATCACGTAGCAATTCAGTTTTCTTTTCTTTGTTACCAAAGAAATCCTCATGTTTCGTAATACTCTGCTTAGCTTTTGGAAAGCGTCTTTAGCCATCGCAATACGTCTTCGTATCCCAGTGTCGAACTTAGCGTCTTTTGTCAGTACATTTTCCCAGATATTGAAATACCCGCACCTAATTGATTTTAGTGCCCCCGACCTATAAATCGCATTTCGTGCTCATCCTTTTACTGATGACCATGCATTCTGTCATCTTCTAGTCTATGCTTAGTCCTTTCTCCTCGCTTTCCTTCGCTACCTTCTGTTGGAGGTTTTGTAATTTCTTTTTCGTGTCTGCTATCAGTACCGTATATCTTGTTAAGATTATGGTCGCCAATGATGCATTCCAGAGGAATTTCCAATTCCCTCAGAATTTTCTCGTTGTATAGGTTGCATAAGTCCGGTAAGAAGACACATCTTTGCCTTACGCCCCTTTCTGTTTGTCTATATCTACTGAACCCATTCTCTGAAACGTAACAATGCAGCACTCATTTCTTTGTTTCTAACGATTTTCCTCCAACTTTTTGTTTTGTTTTTAGTATGCTTCTTTCGCTGGTTCTGTTCCTGTCGAATTGTACAACCTCTAAAAGTACTTTACCGAAATAAAGATCTCGGCTCTGATTTACTAACTGTTGTAATGGAATAACCTCGCACCCCCATGAATGAATCCAATATAGGTAGTGAGTACCTATAAAGTCGACTGTCTACGAGAGACGGTGTAGACGAAAGAAGAGTGAGAGAGGCGACGCAAGCACGTCTGACCTTCCATTTAATGGCACTCACTACTAGATTGACCCGTGTGTATAACTACAGTATTTCATATTGTACTGGTTGTGTACAATAAACCTTTCTTCTAGTATCCACTTAGTGTTATGTGTTTATTCACTTAGCCCGGAATATAACAGTGGCGACGAAGATTGTTTGAAACGAACTCACAACAGCAGCATATACAACATGCTAAACATGACCTTAAACAGCACATTTAAAGTGTAACAATAAAATAATCGACAATGTATTTTTACATGGCTTCAAACTTTTGTTAAAACCAAACAGAACAAAACATTAAAAGTTAGTCTATTCTCCACAACGTCTCCTTTCTTTCTTTTTTTCTTTATTTGATATAATGGAATAGCCAGCCATCCCATGAATGATTAAACTATAGGTAGTAAGTACCTATAAAGTCGACTGTCTACGAGAGACGGAGTAGACGAGGGCAGAGTGAGAGATAGATGACTCAAGCAGCTTCGACCTTCCATTTAGAGACACTCACTACTAGATTGACCTGTGTGTATATCATATTGTACTTGTTGTGTACAATGAACCTTTCTTCTATTATCCACCTGCTGTTAAGTATTTATTCCCTTAGTACGGAATATAACAATGGCGAAAAGCATGGTTGAAATCAACTCACAGCAATATAACATAAGCAATTTTAAGTTGAATGTGTACGATGTACACTTCAGGAAGTGAATCGCACGAGATTTACTTTTAAGGGATACTGATGATTTAATATATATATATATATATATATATATATATATATATATATATATATATATATATATATATATAGGTTTACATATATATATATATATATATATATATATATATATATATATATATATATATATATACAGGTAAACCTATTTT